TCAGTGGAAAAGTCTGAGAATCACTGTACCACATCATTTATTCCTTCATTTTCATTTATTTAATAATTATTATTTGAGGACCAGACACTATACTAGGTTGATGCCATGTAGAAGACACAATATGGACAAAGAGTGAACACAGGAGCAGGATCCCAATATCAATTTAGGAAGAGTGAGGGCAAACTTCACAGGTGGCAGTATCTGAACTAACTTCATAGATGAGAGTCTGATGGTCAGAGAGGAATCTCCTGGAGAGGGATCAGAGAGCAGAAGCTCAACATTACTGGGGCATCAAATATGGAGGTGGGTGAGAAGGAATGGTGGGGAATGACAATACAATATATTTTACTGAGCATTTACTATATACCAGGCACTGTGTTAATTATATTTAATCCTCAAAACCCTATGTGGTAGGTACTATTATTACCCCCATCTTATAGATGAGGAAACTGAAACTTAGAAAAGTAACCTGCTCAACATAAAGCTAGACAGGGCCCAGCACACAAAAGGCTTTTTCTATACACTATGCAATAGTTTTGGTGTTATCCACCATGCCACAGTTAAACAGAATACCAATACAAACTACTAGGTCACAAGGAAGTTCATGCAGAATACAAATGACTGAAAGAGATTAAGTCCAGAGAGATTTCTATGGGCTGCATGGTTAAGAAGGCTTTATGCAGAAGCTGGAATTGAGCTGGGCTGCAGTGGAGGGAAGTTCACAGGAAGGATCAGAGAAAGGGCTGTGAGCAAAGGCTGTACAAAGTCAGTTATGACTCTGGCATCGTGAAAAGACTGTGGAACTTCTAATATCGTAGAAGACAGTACAGTCAGGAAAACAGGGAGCAATTAGGATGGAAGCGAAAGTCAAAGACAGATTTGGGAGGCCCAAGGAGCCACTGAGGAGCTATACATTCTTTGAATGGTGAGTTTAGGATGAATCCAAGTGACTGTTACATGGTAGGCTGTTGGGATGGCCTATAAGCAAGGTGATGAAGGGTTGCCTAAGTAGGTTAATACATGGCTAGGCTGGAATAAAAGGCAGTCCTCTGGCAGTACAGTGAGTAGGAGCTTAGGCTGTGAAATCAGACTAATCTGGGTTCCAACCTGACTTTTTAGAGCCTCCAATTTCCTCATCTAGGAAGTGGGGATAATACCACATATTTGACTTGTCAGGTTTAAATAAAATAACATAATGCGTGTGAAGCATTCACATCACAATTTGAAGCACTATATCCACTGCTTTAAATCTACTATACCTATTAACGTCCTGCTTGCAATGCTGCTCCTTAGTAGAAGTCCTACATCATTCCTTTTAACATTCAACAAATACTTACCAAGCACCAACTATGAGTCAGACACTGACAATTCCTCCTCCGTGAAGTCCTCTCACACTAGCCCAGCCTGAACCATTTCCTTTTCTGAACGCCCTAATTCCACACCATTCTGGTCCCTACCATTCATTTCATTACTTACTCATATATAAAATTTTGTATCAATACTTCACATGTTCTTCTCTCCCATAAAACTGATCATCATAAGGTACAGAAAATGGTATCTTATTTCTTCGGTATTATCACAATGAACATCACACTTAATAAGAAAAGGAATTAAGAGGAGGAGCCTTAGCTTTGGTTTTGTTCAAGAGCTCAGCTCCCTAACCATCACATCTGTTTTACAGCATAATATACAGTCTGGTAGAGTACTGGTTTTCTAACCATGTCTTAAAAGCAGAATCCTTTCAATAAATAAAATTAATACATAATACTGACAAAAGCAGATCAGCTCTGGTTAAAATGAGAGACAGACCTGAAGTACGAGCCTTACATCTGCCCCCAACTGTCATCCCCTGGGCACCAACACGGAATCCCTCCTCTACCTAGAATTAGTTTGAGAACCTGTGGAATAGTAAGTGGAGCACTATCAGAGGACCCCCACTCTGACACTAACAAGGTTACATAATTAATTTGACCCCTTCCCTCCATTTGTTCTCCAAAAAGTCCTCTAGTTATTACTCCCTAGACAGGAAAGACCCAGGCTCAAAGGAAATGTCTTGAACCCAGGGAGGTCATTTTTTAAAACCAGAGTTCCTGGGCAATGCTCAGACCAAGAGTGCACAATTTACTATGGCTACATTATTTTCTCTTTTTCTTTTAACAAGTGTCAAACTTCTGAAAGCAAAGCAAAGCAAACCTAAAATAATGCCTTGAGCAATTAGAGGAGAAGCTCGGACAAAGAGGCATTATAAGTGGCTTGTTAAAATTCTGTAAAGAACCGTCCTTACAATATGTTTCCTTATATTTGTCATCAGTCAAAAATGAATGTACAAAGTTCTATCAACACTAGGACTCGTCTTTTTGCTGTTAAAATAAATCCAGACAAGAGCAATGGGCTTAGTGTGGGCACCTGAATCAGAAGTGAATTGGAATTTTTCAGCATTCAGCACCAACAGAAACGAGTCAGTAGGCCCAAGATAAGTGAAAACAGAAGTTGCCATAGTAACTTGCACACTTACCCTAAAAAGGCGGGAGTGGGGGTGGGATGCGGAAGTAGGTCAATACTTCTGCTTAACTAGCTCTAGTCCTTGGCTTCCTCTCCTCACCTAAAGCAGCATATCCTCCTCCCTCCCCACCACCGGCAGGAGCAAGGGGAGGAAATGAGGTGACCATTTCAGAAAGCAAGGAGTGGCTCTCGAGAGGTCCAGGTAGAGGGAAGGTGAACCAAGAGGACAGTCCACTAAAAACGTCCCGAGTGCCTTGGGACTACCCCTGGGAAAGCAGATGCTGATCAAGGGCACCAGTGCTAAGAAACTGTTGCTGGGTTACCACAAATCAGAAATTGCCATTTCCCCTGCAGCAGTTTAAGTGTACCTAATGGAACACTTGGGAGTGCATTATTAACAACTTTGGGTTGGGGGTAGTCGTGGGGAGGGATGAGTACTCTGGCATGGGAGAAACCTGAAGCCCTTAGCAAGGGGCATCCTTTGATGGCTGAAACTATGAACAGGGCTCAAGGACGGCCTAAAAGACAGGGAGGGAGGGAGCAAATAAAGTAAGCTGATTTTGCTACACAGAAATATAGTACTCTTTGATACTCTGATCTGAAATAGCTACTAATCCAAGAGGGCAAGGGTGACGCTGGTCCCTGAGATGGCCTGAAGAGTGCCAGAGCTCATTATCAGCTCTTCTGCCTGTGGTACCAACAAGTGCAGAAAGCAGGTTAAACAGGAAGCATTTGGAAACAGGTGCAGTTCCATTTTCCTGCAGCTGTTAGTGTCTGCACAGGGATAAGCTAGGACATTACTAATGATTTTAACCATTTGGTGGGAAAGCCCTAGTGTTCTAGAAGACAACAGAAAGGATAATCCCTCAGGGAGGTCAAAAAAGCAGAACCAAAAAAAAAAAAAAAAAAGCAGAACCATCTTTTTTAACCAGTGAGAATTTCAAACACAAACCTCTAGATACCCTACTGCATGGCACAGAGGCAAGTCTAGGCTTCCATCAGGCAGGCCAATCAGACTTGACTGGGAAACTTATTTCAATCCAGCAGCACACCTAGCTGCAGAGCACAGGAAGGAAAGGCTGTTTCAAATCTGAGCTCACGTATTCAGAAACATCTGCAAATCATCCCCTTGTACTTCTGCACATGTCTCTACTCCTCTGCCCTATGGGAGAAGGAAAGAGCCTCATAGACACAGCAACATTTAAGAGAGGCTCTGGAGACCAAGCGTGGCCAAGACCTTGGGAGAGGAGCACCCAGAACAAGCCTGTGGTGTGGACAGGGGATTAGAGACGGCAAGGACCAGGTACTAGGCCTCCGTAAACACTGTGGGAAGAAGCAGCCCACGCTGAGCAACGTGTGCATGAACATTAAGGCGGACAGCTCCAGGCAACAGTAAGTCAATCATTCTTCCAAGGGAAATGTGAGAACAAACAGATGCTATTCTATTACCACCTCTTAGCACGGCCCAGAAAAATTGTTCGGTCTAACTAGTTCAGAACCGTTTTTCTTTTGCATATAGCAACACAGAGGGCAAAGAGAATTTTGTGGAACAAATCATGTTTTAAAACGTTCTATTACGGAAGAATGTTCAAGCTCAAGCACATGCAAAGTAGACAAAATAGGGTAATGAACTATCACCCAGCTTCAAAACTCATTAGTATTCCAGGGCTAACCTTAAAGCCGAGACAGAACCCTTCATTGGAATGATCTCTAAGTTTTACACACCAAAAGCCTGCAACCCCAAATGGTAATTTCTACATCCACCAGGAACCCCAGGAGATAGCTACTCTAGGAAAACAGCAGTGTTAATAGAAAATAAACAGACTTCAATTTCAGTGCTTGAGGAATATCTAACAAAATAATCATACCCACAAAGTTTTTGTACCTGAATTTTTTAATTCCTAAAAGATGCATTTCCAACTCATTTATGTCTGCTGAGTAAGCATCAATGAGGTGCACAAACTCACAGAGAAAGGTTCCACAGTCACCACAGTCAGGTTTCCAGGACTATGCCTGGTTTACAACCACTTTCCATTCTTTTTTTTTTTTCTCCAGCTTCATTGAGGTACAAATGGCATGTATCATTGTGTAAGTTTAAGGTGTACAACTGTGATGATTTGTTGCACAAATATTGTGAAATGACTACCAAATAAGATTAGTTAACACCTCAATCACCTCACATAATTACTTTTTTGTGGTGAGAATGCAAGATCTATTCTGTTCGCAACTTTAAGGTATATAATACAGTATTGCTAACTATAGTCACCATGCCGTACATTAGATCCTAAGAACTTATTCATCTTACAACTGGAAGTATATCCTTTGACCAACATCTCCTCATTTCCCCATTGCAGCCCCTCCACTTTCCATTCTGACATAAGTAAGCATTTGGGGCAAACTTCAGGAAAACAGGACAGTACAGATTTAGTTCATTTATGACCTACTAAAACCCACCATGTGCTGGAATTCAGAGAAGCTAAAGGAAGGTCTCTACTTACTGGTACTGTTACATCATCATAAAAACTCCAAGCCAAAGCCCACCTCATTGTCCGACCTTGGCAGAATTCAGTGTAGGTGACTTTAGGAACCTGAAACCAGCAAACACAGCATCTCATCATTCTAGTAATTCTACTATGTTTCTGGCTCCTGCCTCATGTTAAATTATATGTTGGTCGTACTTTTTATCAGTTAACAAACACTACCATCCCCAAACAGTTATGCACAGCTGCCTAATAATCAATGAATAAATTACCTCTCGACAAAGTTGTGGGCTTTCTTCCTGCCATAAAACACGAGAGAATTTATAGCTCTGGCCTGAAGGTCCAATATATGAAACACTCAAAACACAGTCCTTCAGAGAACCACTGGTAAAATGATTCAAATGTTCTTTTGTTTTCTTTTGTTTAGGAAAGAGAGCCTCTAAGGCCTAGCTAGACACAGCTATGTAGTCTCCCTTTTGTCTACCAGATTTTAGGAAAGAAAACAGAACTACTTTCTAGCTGTTACAATCTTAACAAAGAAAAGGTGTTGTGGGGAAAGTAGGATGAGTAGAATGTCAGAAAGAAAACTGAAATCAGAAACTTGGTTCTACCGCTGAACCCACATCTGACCCCCTTCTCTGAAAAGTCATCCTGCTCCTGCCTATTCACGCCCAAACACCATCAACTGGGAGGGGAGTTGGGGAAGTATGTATTTGTCACCTGCTTTTCAAAACAAAAGCAAGGGGCTGAACTTGTGTGGGTCACACCATAGTGGGGTGAAGATCGCACACCGGACTTAAAATTGTTCTGGTTTCAGCTGTTCGTTGATAACTAGACGTGTGAACTAGACGTGTGACCTGGAACAAGCCCCTTAGCTTCAGTTTCTGCAGTTATAATGGAGTCAGATGTGGGGTCAGTGGCAGGCAGACACCAGGTTTTTCGATGTCTGGTTTCTCTCTGACATTCTACTCATCCTGTTTTCTCCATCTTTTCTTATTGGTCAAAGGCGGCCTTATTTTAATAATTTATAAACAGTTCCCTTTAGCCCCCAAATTACAACATTAAAAAATAAACAAGCAAAAATAAAACAAACAAAAAACACATTTAGAGCTTCTAGATATAAAGGAAAGTTCTATCTATACTCCAAGTACCATCAAAAGTGGATACACCAAAATAGTAAAGACAAAGCCTTACCCCTTGTATTCGAAGTTCTTCCTTCAGAGGAGCCAGGCTGCATTTCTTTCCCAGCATACAGCTATACCACCTGTAGGGGGTGGGAAATCAGGCAAGTCAAACACTGTTTATGTGGTTACACATTTTTACATTAGCATTACTCAAGTGAAAAAGATAAGAGTAGCAAACAAATATTGAGTTAAGTTACAAATGACAATAACAAGAATTGTATCAATAGCCCAAAGCAACTTAAACAAAAAGCCACTTAGCCTTTCCAATGATTTTAGGGCTGTATGTATGTGGAAAGACAGTAAGAGAGAGAGGTCTCACCTGCAATGCTCAGAATGAAGATCATTTAGCTTTGGGACAGAAATTAGTTAATAAACAACAGAAAAAACATGCCTACACACACCCCCCACCATATTAAGAGAAATTGTAAAATCTAGCATGAACCTGTATTTTGAGATGCACTCACTTGCAAATAACTTAAGAATATATATTGCATTAAAGTTTCAACAGAACATGAAATCAATTTCTTCTATAGCAAATACAAATCCAGAAGAGGGAGTATGAAGATGGAGTGAACCGGTTAAAAGGTAAAAGGACATACTTTATTTCTTCTGATTATTCTAAAAAGTTTGCAAAGTATAAAATTTATACAGGACTTCTGCTTCAGCATATGAAGGATTAACTAGTAAGGAAATTGCCCTTCCACCATAAACTAGGAAACTGGACAAAATATATGAAACAATTTTTCAGACACTGGACAACGGCAGTGAAGACCTATGAGCTCAGAGAGAAAAACAAGGTGAGCCCTATAACTGCCAGAGTTTACTGCCTAAAGGAAATCCCCAAGCTGCAAAGCAGGGAAAGGAAACTAAAACAGAACCCAATAATCTTGCTGAATTGATGAGACAGAGACTGGAGTTCAGAGAGGCTGAGGTAGTAAGAATTTGAAGAGCAAAATATAAGAGGAAGGAGCCGCATACGGAGAGAATTCTGGGCATCTGCAGAGGAGGTCACTGGAATATTCTGCAGAATGATCTACATGTGTGGGGTGGAGGCTAGGGAAAGAACTCTCAGAAAGCAGTAAGCTGAACAATTCCTGGATTTCAGACATCTGGGACTAGTTTGTGGATCTACTAGCCAGAGCAGAAAGACCCTGTTAATAAAAGGGGCATCTATTAGAGTCCTGGAAAGGATACTGCTTTGTAATGGGGCTACAGCCTATTCTATATCTACCCTAATAAAGCTTAAAAGCAAGATTTGAAAGGATCCAACTGATCACAAGTAACTGAAGTAAGCATCAAAACAAAGTTTAACACCCTTTAAAAGAATAGAATGAAACGCAGCACCCCCAAACATAAGATATGCAATGTCCAGCATCCAGTCAAAAACTACCAGACATTGAAAGAAGCAGGAGGGCTTCCCTGGTGGCACAGTGGTGAAGAATCCACCTGCCAATGCAGGGGACACGGATTCGAGCCCTGGTCTGGGAAGATCCCATGTGCCGCAGAGCAACTAAGCCCGTGTGCCACAACTACTGAAGCCCGTGAGCCTAGAGCCCACGGTCTGCAACAAGAGAAGCCACCACGATGAGAAGCCCACGCACCGCAATGAGAAGCCTACGCACCGCAATGAAGAGAAGCTCCTGCTCGCCGCAACTAGAGAAAGCCCGCGCGTAGCAACAAGGACCCAATGCAGCCAAAAATAATAAATAAATAAAATAAAAAATAAAAAAAGCAGGAAAATGACTCACAACCAGGATTTAAAAATCAATCATTAGAAACAGACCAAGAAATAAGAGAGATGATGGAATTAGATGAGGACATCAAAACAGCTATTAGAAATATGCTCCATAACAAAACATGGACATGATGAAGAGCAAGAGGGAAGATATAAAAACTAACCAAATGTAACTTCTAGACATGAAAATTATAATATCTAAAATAAAAAATTCACAGATGGGATTAACAGCATATTAGACCCTGCAAAAGAAAAGATGTGTGAACTTGAAGACACAGCAAAACAACTACCTGAAATAAAGCACACAGGGGGAAAAAAAAAGAGAAAAAGACCAAAAAAATAAAACGCAGCACCAGTGACCAATGGGACAATATCAAGCAGTACACATAACTGGGGTTTCAGAAAAGGGGCAAAAGGAGGACAAAAATATTTGAAAAAAAAGGTCAAAAATTTTCCAAAACTGATAAAAACTATAAACACATATACAAGAAGTTCAATGAACTCCACACAGAAGAAACATAAAGAAAACCATACTATATATTTAAAACAGATAGCCAACAAGGACCTACTGTATAGCACAAGGGAACTCTGCTCAATTCTCTGCAATAACCTAAATGGGAAAAGAGTTTGAAAAAGAATAGATATATGTATAACTGAATCACGTCGCTGTACACCTGAAACTAACACAACATTGTTAATCAACTCTACTCCAATATAAAATAAAAATTAAAACAAAAAACATACTAAGGCACCTTATAATCAAATTACAGAAAATTAGAGATAAAAAGAAAATCTTAAAAGCAGGGAGAGGGTAGAGACACTTTTTGTTCAAAAGAATAAAGATAAATATTTAATATCAGACTTCTCATCAGAAATAATGCAAGCCAGCGCTTCTCTGGTGGCACAGTGGTTAAGAGTCTGCCTGCCAATGCAGGGGGCCCAGATTCAATCCCTGTTCAGGGAACTAGATCCCACATGCATGCTGCAACTAAGGAGCCCAAGTGCCGCAACTAAAGAGCCGGTGAGCCGCAACTAAGGAGCCCGCCTGCCTCAACTAAGACCCAGCTCAACCAAATAAATAAATACATTTTTTTTAAATGTTGATTTAAAAAAAAAGGAAAACAACCAGAATACAATACCCAGGAACTGTGGGACAACTACAAAAGGTATAAAATATGTGTAATGGAAATCTAGAAGGAAAAGAAAGAGAAAAGAACCGAAGAATCTGAAACAATGACTGAGAATTTCCCCCAAATTAATGTCAGACACAAACCACAGATCCAGGAAGCTAAGAGAACACTGAGCAGAAAAAATGCCCAGAAAACTACACCTAGGCGTGTGATTTTTAAAACACAGAAAATCAAAAAGATAAAGAAAAAATCCTCAAAGAAGCTAGAAAAAGATACACCTTACCTATTGATAAGAATTACATCCAACTTGTCTTAAGAAACCAAGCAAGCAAGAAGAGAGAGGAGTGAAATACTTATCTCAGACACGGCTGACTTCAAACCAAGGCAAGTTATCAGGAATAATTACACAATGCTAAAGATGACAATCTTTCAAGAAGACTTAACAATCCTTAATGTGTTTGTACCTAACAACAGAGCATCAAACTACATAAGGCAAAAACTGATAGAGCTGCTGGAGAAATGGATGAATCCTCTACTAGAGATGGAAACTTCAACAACCCTCTGTCAGAATGGACAGATCCAGCTGGCAGAAAATCAGTAAAGACATAGTTGAACTCACAGCACCATCAATCAACTGGCTCTAATTGACATCTATTAACTATTCATCCAACAACAGCAGAATACACATTCTTCTCAAGCTCACATGGAATATTCACCAAGACAGACCGTGTTCTGGGCCGTAAAATACATCTTAACAAATTTTAAAGAATAAAACTCATACAACATCTGCTCTTACACCATAGGGAATTAAACTTGAAATCAGTAACAGAAAGAGAGCTGGAAAATCCCCAAATACTTGGATATTAAACAATACATTTCTAAATAACACATGGGTCAAAGAAGAAATCTCAAGAGAAATTAAGCAATATTTAAAAAAATATATTTATTTCTTTTTGGCTGCATTGGGTCTTCGTTGCTGCGTGCGGGCTTTTCGCTAGTTGTGGCGAGTGGGGGCTACTCTTTGTTGAGGTGCGCGGGCTTCTCATTGCGGTGGCTTCTCTTGCTGCAGAGCACGGGCTCTAGGCGTGTGGGCTTCAGTAGCTGTGGCACCCAAGCTCAGCAGTTGTGGCTCGTGGGCTCTAGAGCACAGGCTCAGTAGTTGTGGCACGTGGGTTTAGTTGCTCCACGGCATGTGGGATCTTCCCAGGCCAGGGTTTGAACCCATGTCCCCTGCATTGGCAGGCGGATTCTCTTTTTTTTTTTTTTTAACATCTTTATTGGAGTATAATTGCTTTACAATGGTGTGTTAGTTTCTGCTTTATAACAAAGTGAATCAGTTATACATATACATATGTTCCCATATCTCTTCCCTCTTGCGTCTCCCTCCCTCCCACCCTCCCTATCCCACCCCTCTAGGTGGTCACAAAGCACCGAGCTGATCTCCCTGTGCTATGTGGCTGCTTCCCACTAGCTATCTATTTTACGTTTGGTAGTGTATGTATGTCCATGCCACTCTCTCACTTTGTCACAGCTTACCCTTCCCCCTCCCCATATCCTCAAGTCCATTCTCTAGTAGGTCTGTGTCTTTATTCCCATCTTGCCCCTAGGTTCTTCATGACCTTTTTTTTTTTTCTTAGATTCCATATATATGTGTTAGCATATGGTATTTCTTTTCCTCTTTCTGACTTACTTCACTCTGTATGACAGATTCTAGGTCCATCCACCTCACTACAAATAACTCATTTCGTTTCTTTTTATGGCTGAGTAACATTCCATTGTATATATGTGCCACATCTTCTTTACCCATTCACTTGCTGATGGACACTTAGGTTGCTTCCATGTCCTGGATACTGTAAATAGAGCTGCAATGAACACTGGGGTACATGACTCTTTTTTTTTTTTTGCAGTACGCGGGCCTCTCACTGCTGTGGCCTCTCCCGTTGCAGAGCACAGGCTCCGGACGCGCAAGCTCAGTGGCCATGGCTCACGGACCCAGCCACTCCGCGGCATGTGGGATCCTCCCGGACCAGGGCACGAATCCACGTCCCCTGCATCGGCAGGCAGACTCTCAACCACTGCGCCACCAGGGAAGCCCAAGGAAACTTTTTTTTTTTTTTTTTTGCGGTACACGAGCCTCCCACCATCGCGGCCTCTCCCGTTGTGGGGCACAGACTCCGGATGCGCGGGCCCAGCCGCTCTGCAGCATGCGGGATCC